CAAGTAGGAAAACTGCTGGGCACAACTAAGTAGACAGCAGATGCTAGTGTGAAACTGTGATTATCATCAGCATTTGGAGTTTAAGGAAGGGAGACGCTTTCCAAAGAAAACACATTTGGGATCTCTCGTTCCGACCTGAAGCCAAGAGATAGGCTTGAGCGGGAAGAGGCTGTGCATGTATATTGTGATTGATTGTTTACAAAAGTGGTGGCAACAATTCCTCCTGTTCCTGTCGTCTAGCCTTTTGCAATGTGACTTTGCAGAAGAGAGAGACACCCAGCTGACAGCCAGATGTGTGCATGGGGCCCTCTTGAATCATGAGTCCAGGGGTTGGCAAACTGCGGCTCGCGAGCCACATGCGGCTCTTTGGGTACGTTCCGTCTCAAAAGTTTGCCGACCTCTGGAAGAGCCAATCCTGTCCCTCACAACAATTTAAAAATTATTTGAGAGCCATAAATATATTTTTACATAATCACCATTATGTGAACAATATCCTTTAAAAATTTTATAAATGAAACTATGACATTGGGTTGTCGGAAAAGTCATGATACATTTTTGCAACAAAAAAATAGAAACAATTCATCATGACTTTTCCGACAGCCCAATAGTTTTATTTGCATTTTCAATTTTACTTCAGAGCTTGCCGCTCATGAGCCGCAGTTTGCTGACCCCTGGCGGCTCTTCTGTCTCAAGAGTTTGCTGACCCCTGATCCAGCCCCAATTAAGCTGCTGGATGACAGTAGCATTAGAAGTGATCCAAGGAGAGTAGGGTTGCTAGAAAAATACAGAACACCCAGTTAGATCTAAATTTCAGATGACACACAAAAGCTTTTCAAAGTATAAGTATATCCCATGCAATATTGGAGGACATACTTATACTCAAAAATTATTCACTATGTATCTGCATTTCAAATCTAACTGGGTATCCTGTATTTTATCTGGCAACTCAACAGGAGACCCTACAGAAGGAACTCTCAGTTGAGCCAAAACGCAGAACAAACTGCTGAACTGAAAAAACATGAGCAAAGAAAATGATTATGTTCTTAAGCAGCTGAGTTTTGGGGTCATTTGTTATGCAGCAAGAGATAACTGATGCTTATATAGCTGGAGGATCTTGGTGGGGCCTAATCTATTCTCTCACCTGGCTGCACCCAACTTGCACCCCAAGTTCCATCCTCGAGGCCTCCTTCTACCCATTTGAAGTCTGGGTGAGGCCTCCGTGCATCCTCCTTTGTCTCTGAGTCCGTGACCCTGAGTCAGCCCAGCCCCTCCCATACCCCAACTCCACCCTATACCCTTCCCAATCCCAAGGCACTTACTTGAGGTGGGGGTGGGGCGGTGCTGGTTTCTTGGACTCTTCACCCTGTTGGGACGCGCTGCGGCCTTGCACGGGGGGCCGGGGCTGTGAGGTGAGGGTGGCGCCTGGCTTGGAGGCCTGGTTGGGAGAGCTGCCACTGGATGCCCGGGACAGCTGTGGAGAGCTTGGCGATGGCTGTTGCTGTGGAGATCCAGGCTGCGGGCTCAGGGGCTGCTGGCCTTGTGGGGAGAGCCGCTGCTGGGAGGGGCTTCCAGACCTCTGGGGCTGAGGAGACTGCGCTTGGCGAGGGCCCCCTACAGGGCGAAGAAAATATTACATTCAAGTTTCTCTTAGGATAAATACGGTTACACAAACGTTGCTTCCAGGATGTTCATTACAGTGTTTTGCATAACAGTGAAAACCAGAAAACAATATAAATGCCTAATTAATCCATATCATGGAATATGCTGTGGTCATCATGTATATATGCGGCAGAATGATATTAAATACAATGGGATATTGTTGATATATGCTAAATAAATACTGCTAAACAAAGCGAGCAACTGCTAAAACAGGTACATACGGTTTTGTCGTGCTTTGGCACATGTATAAAGCTATGTGACAAAGGAAGACAAGAAGGTTATACGCAAAACCCAGTGTGTCTCAAACGTTACTGTGCAGATGAGTCACGGGGAATCATGTCAAAATAAAGATTCTGATACAGCAGGTCCGGGCTGGTGTTATGGACTGAATTGTGTTCCCCCCAAATTCATGTTTTGAAGTCCTAACCCTCCTAACGCTCAAAGTGACTATTTTTGGAGATAAGGCCTTAAAGGAGGTAATTAAGGTTAAATGAGGCCACAAGGATGGGGCCCTCACCCAATAAGACAGGTGTCCTTGTAGGAAGAGAGAGAGAGACACCGGGGCATGCCCACAGAGGAGAGGCCATGTGANCATGGTGCTTTCTGATCCTGTGTCACTGATCTGCTGATTCTCTCTGGTTTCCTCGTGTATCCTTGAGGAGGAAACAACCTTCCCAGTAGGAATTCAGAGAGACTTCCTGGTGGCGTAACAGAAAGGGCAGAGGGGCCCCAACCTGACTCCTTCCTTGGGACGCTTTGGGCATCTTCCCCTTCTGGGAACCAGTAATGCTTCCTAAAAGAACCTGTGGTCTGCTCTTGGCCGTCCATGCTGGGCCTGGGCAGCATTTCAGGACTTTCCCCTCTGTTCCTGGTGTGTTCTGAAAGGCCCCACTTGTCACACAGGATCGGGTTTCTTTCCATTGTCCTCAGGCGCCCCCTGGTGGCTCGGTGTGAGGGGGGCCTTTGCCTGCCTGGTCTGAGGGAGGGGCGGTCTCTTTGCAGCCTGGATGTCACTGGCATGGGGGTCGGTGACAGCTTCCCCTGGCTGGGCTTTTCTCCTTTTGTTTGCAAAACACTGTCCCAAGACGATTGCCCCCTATATTGCTGAGGTCCGATGACAGTGTCTGCGTTGGATGGAGGCAGGGCAAGGCCTAGACGGGGGACTTTCGCCCAAAGGCAAGAAACACACTAACAAGAGACGTGAAAACTAGCCACGCACAGACATCTCACTTGGTGATCCGAGGCAAGGAAGCAAGCATCTGAATGGGCAGGACAACGGGACGCCTGGCCTTGAGGCCCATCTGGGGGAACCTGGAGGCGCTCAAAGGCCCCCCACTCAGTTGGATGATGCTGGGATGTCATGGTGAAGGAAAGTGGGAACACATATAGATACTCAGTTTCTGGGTCAAAGGCATTTAGAAAGTATATTCTCAGGCCCTCCATTCTGTTCCCACCAGGAACCAAGGCTGAGAAGGAAGATGAGGCAGGAGAGGGGAAGGGTAACAGAGCACCCCCTCCTCCCAGGCTGCACAGGGTTAGTCAGAGAACAGGCTGGCGAAAGACTTCCTCAGGTTGCGGATGGTTTCGGCCTTGGCCTCATCTTCACTTGGCATCCCGCGCTGGGCAGCGTCAGAGGTGCTGAGGCTGTTAGTCAGGGACTGCGATTTGCTGAAACAGAAAGGCACGGGAGTTTGGGGGCGACACGGGCTGGACTCCCGAGGAAACGAGTTGCGGGGGGCTTGCCTGGGAGCCAGGTGGGTGAGCTCAGCCACCACCAGGATAGTAAGCCCAGAAACCAGGCATTCCGACGCTTACATGAACCTGGGACCATCACACATGTTGCTTAACTGGCAAAGTGGTTACTGGTTTCTCCCTTTTTTAGGTACAGAAACTGGGGCTCACGGCAAGTAACGGGGGCACCCAAGGCGCACATTCTTCCCACTAACCCAGGCGGCTCAGGTGGCAGGCGTTACTAGAACAGCCTGACGGCTCTCCTGCCTATGTGCGCAAACCCGCCTTGTAAGCTGTAAAGTGCTGTGCCATCATCGGGCTGTGGTGTTCCTCCTCTATTTTCCAGCACTCTGGGAATCAGGAGGCCTCTTTGTAGATCCCCCTCTGCCATCTGACCCCCTCTGGCTTTGGGCACGTAACTTACTGCTCAGGGCCTCCTCCACCTCATCCGTATAAAGGAGGGTCGGTCCAGCCCACCTCAGGCCTCTTTTAGCTCTGTCATCCTGGGATTCAAGTCCCACCTGCTCCCTGAAGCCCGGGTGGCTGATTCCAGCCCGTTTTGGGACTGCAGCGTTTGAGCCTTTGTGCCGGCCCAAGGCTAGGTGACAGAGGTGTAGAGATGAATGCAATTCAGGCCCTGCCCTCAAGAGGCCCACAGTCTGGTGGAGATGCCAGACATCAGCAGAGATGATATAACTATGTGAGAAGTTTAAGAGATCCACACACAGTCTTGTCACCACTATAAAAAAAAATCAAAATCCTCTTCAAAACAGGGACTGTCTTTTACCCCCTGCTTATCCCACACAGGGCCTTATCCAGGACTAGGCACCGAGTAGGCATTTGATAAATATCCGCTGACGTGAATTGAACCAAAAAATACGTTCGAGCCACAACACGGAGATTTCAATGTTTCTAGCTCGATGACTATGAGGTCAGGGTGCAAACCTGGTGTCAGTCCCAAGCCCTGGCCTGTCCTGTGATGAGCCGGGCTGACTCTGTTTCCACGGTGAGAGGCTGTCACAGATGTGCTGTGCCCGCAGGGTTCTAAGCACTAACTACATAAACTCATTTTCATCCTTCTAATAACCCTGTGGGGTAAATACTATCCTCGTTGTGCAAGTGAGGAAGTGGAAGTTATGTTAACTTCAGCAGAGAAGTTAAGTATTAATAACTCTTCTGAGGTCATGAAGCTTTTATATGGTAGAGCTGGACTCTGGGCCCAGGCAGTCTGACTCTAGAGTCTGTGCTGTTGACCACGAGGCCATGCTGCCTGGAAGGTCGCTAGATAATATCTGTCAAACCAAAAATACATTATCCTTTGATCCAACAATACCATTTCAGGTATTTTCTCTACAGGTGATCCTGCATGCATAAGAAACAGCGTGTGCTCAAGGTTATTCATGGCAGCCTTCTTTGTGAGAGCAAACCAAGTTTCTATTGATGGTGGATTAGTTGGGTAAATTATGCTACAACTATACAGTGGAATACTATACAGCCATGAAAAGGAGAACATTTCAATGGACTGAGTTGAAGAGTTCCAGGGTTTATTGTTAAATGTAAAAATCAAGGAGAAGAATGGTGTGAATCGTGACACTGTCATCTGTGTGAAAAAGTATGTGTATGTGGGAGGGAATCAGAACAGGTATTTTTGTATTTGCATAAGAAAACAATGGAGAAACACACAAGGAACTAACAAAAGTGGTTACTTCTGGGAGCAGGGGGCAGGGAAGCATTGGATGGGAATGAGGTGGGACTAAGTTTTTTCGGTACACAGCTTTGATATAGCTGATATCGTAGATCTTTGAGCCATGAGAATCTATTACCTACTGAAAAAATGATGGTCCGTGGGCTGGGTGTCCTGTGTTCAATCCCAGCTCTTCTACTTACGAACAGTGGAAACTTTGGCAAGTTATTTAATCTCTTATTTATTATTATCCCATCTGTGAAATGGGTGTAATAATAATAATGAACTCCTAAGCTTGTGAGTATTAAAAAAAAAACCAAGTAGGAAAACTGCTGGGCACAACTAAGTAGACAGCAGATGCTAGTGTGAAACTGTGATTATCATCAGCATTTGGAGTTTAAGGAAGGGAGAC